AGCAGGCACAGGGGGCACTGAGGAGCCTCAGTGTCATTACAGAGCACAACACAGCACAAAGTACCATGACTCCATCAGAAGGGTGCAAGAGTGATCTGTTACAGCAACATGTTGCTTTTATACTCTTTCAAGATATTTACATTCACTTAACATACACATTCACTGCCCAGTGGTTATAGGAAAGAAACAAAGTTCTCAGTGGGTGACCAAGGAGTCACATCAATCTGTGAGTCAGCCAGAGTCTGTATCTGTTAACTTTCTCTCCTTCATCACATCTCCTTGGTGACAACCTTGGTGTCTTCCTCAGGAGAGAAGTGGGGCTTTTCTTTATCTTCAGGAGGCCTTTGCTGCCTCACAAGAGCAGCACAGAATGTCTCTCCTACACCTTAGTTGTCACTAGAGAGGCCAGAAATGAGATGACTGAGCTGTGGTGACACAGACAGTGACAGGATTGGGCTGTGGTGACACAGTGACAGGATTGAGCTGTGGTGACACAGGCAGTGAGAGGATTGGGCTGTGGTGACACAGGCAGTGACAGGATTGAGCTGTGGTGACACAGTGACAGGATTGAGCTGTGGTGACACAGGCAGTGAGAGGACTGAGCTGTGGTGACACAGGCAGTGACAGGATTGAGCTGTGGTGACACAGGCAGTGACAGGATTGAGCTGTGGTGACACAGGCAGTGAGAGGATTGGGCTGTGGTGGCACAGGCAGTGAGAGGGTTGAGCTGTGGTGACACAGGCAGTGACAGGATTGGGCTGTGGTGACACAGGCAGTGACAGGATTGAGCTGTGGTGACACAGGCAGTGAGAGGACTGAGCTGTGGTGGCACAGGCAGTGAGGATTGAGCTGTGGTGACACAGGCAGTGAGAGGGTTGAGCTGTGGTGACACAGGCAGTGAGATGACTGAGCTGTGGTGACACAGACAGTGACAGGATTGAGCTGTGGTGACACAGACAGTGAGAGGATTGGGCTGTGGTGACACAGGCAGTGAGAGAATTGAGCTGTGGTGACACAGACAGTGACAGGATTGAGCTGTGGTGACACAGTGAGAGGATTGAGCTGTGGTGACACAGGCAGTGAGATGACTGAGCTGTGGTGACACAGACAGTGAGATGACTGAGCTGTGGTGCACAGGCAGTGAGGACTGAGCTGTGGTGGCACAGGCAGTGACAGGATTGAGCTGTGGTGACACAGGCAGTAGAAGTGTTTTGTTTTTAAAGCAGCTGGCACCAGCACTCNCAGGCCCTGGCACAGGGTGCCCACCCTGGATCCCTGGCAGTGCCCAAGGCCAGGCTGGGCAGGGCTGGGAGTGGCCTGGGACAGTGGGATGGGGATAGGATGGGATGGGCTTTAAGGTCCATTCCCACCCAGACCATTCTGTGATCATTTTCTGGATGCCTTGTGAAAATGGGAAATCCTTATTTAAAGTGAGTCATTGAAAAGAGACTCCAAGCTAAAATTCTTATGGAAATTAAGCTAAATAAGCTTTTTTCATTTTCCTGCTGGTACTACAGGTCTGTGTGTCAGGGAGGTGACACAGGTGAGTGCCACCTGTGCTGGGTCATTGAGCCATTCCCCCATTCCCCCGTGCTCAGCTGCTGTCCCTCCCTCTCTGCAGGGCTCCCATGTCACTCGCTGGCCTGGCTTCTACATCCTGCAGTGGAGGATGCACGGGCCCCTGCCCTGCTCCAGCTCCAGCCTGCCCCGTGTGGACGATGTCCTGGCCTCCCTGCAGGGCTCCAGCCACAAGTGCAAGCTCATCTACTACTACGAGGTGCTGGCCTCCAAGGACTTCAGGTAGGGCATTTCCAAGGGGTTTACAACGAGTTGCACTGGGGGTGAGTTAAACATTTGGATATCAGAGACCCCCACAGGGGGTGTGTTTAAATGACAAGTGGATGGACACAAAATTGGTGGCATTTTCAGATTCCCTTGAATCTGTCCATCAGTGAAATTTGTGCTTTAGGGCTTTGCTTGCAGCTGCCTGAAGAGCAGGAGATTTTTGACTCAAGAGGGTTTTTATCTTAGTTAGGAATATTTTGAGAAGCTGCTTTTGGAGTAATTTAAATATCAGCTGGGCTGTTTCCCAGATGGTTTTGTTTGGCACTTGAGAAGGATGAGCACTTCTGCACAGGTGAACAGCCAGCCCTGGCAGGGTGTGCCTGGCCCCTTCGATGCCACAATCACCTCCCCATCTGTCACTCTGAGCTCTGTGCAAGCCTTGGCCCTTCCCTGGGGCTGGAGGTGTTGGGCAGAGCAGATTTGAAGGTGGTGGCTTGAGGTGTGACCTGGCCAGGTGCTGTGGGGTCAGAGCAGCAGAAATCCTCAGTCCAGTCCTGCTCCTCTTGGGGCTCTTCCTGAGCCCTGCCTGCCTTGGGCAGGAGGAGCTGGAGGTGCTGAGCTGGGACTCTGCTGTTCAGCAGCCTGGAGCCCTTGGGTTCCCAAGGCTGCATTTGGATTGTTCTGGAGCTTTCCTTTCACCTCTGAGGCTCCAGCTGTGTCCCTTTCCCCAGAACAATACTCAGAGACAAGGAATAATATCTGTAAATGGGAAAAAAATGTCTCTGACTGATTAATTTTTCATCATGACACAGAGATTCTTAGAGAGCAAGTGGGAAATGATGGGCCAAAAAGCAATTGTGCAAATGTTGGAAAGGGGGAGCTGATCTGTGGGAGGAATCCCTCAATGCAGCCTTGCTAACAGCACATCTGTTCTGTCCCATGCCAGGGGATCCATGTCCAGCCTGGAATCCTGCACCAGTGGCTTTTCCCAGCTGAGTGGAGTCACCACATCTTCCAGCCAGTCCCAGAGCAGCTCCCACCTCTCCAGATAGCAGAGCCAGGGCTGCAGCACCAGGGGCACCCAAACCAAAGAGCTCCAGGGCTGAGCCGTGGGGCAGCCACAGCCCTTTGGACACAGAGAGGCCTCTGGGGGCTGCTTCAACCACAAAAACTGAAATTCCAAGGGCAGGTTTAGGGGTTTGGGCTCAGCTGCCTGCTCCTCAGTAGCCTCCTTCACCACCTGTGGGTTTGCAGGACCCCACTCCACTCCAAAGGGCTCTTTTCAGTTCTTTCCCCCAGAGGAGGCTGATGTTGCCTTACCTGCTGCCCCTTGAGGGAATTCCTGGGGGGCAAAACAAGGGAATGTCCTGGGTGCCCACAGGGTTCTGCTCCCACACTGGGCAGTCAGGGGGGCATTCCAGGGGCAGGGCCTTGGCAGGACCTCCCAACACCTGGGTACAGGCAGCATGGCTCAGAAATCACTTCCAGGCCAAACCAAAAACTCTCCTGGTCTGGCAGGATGCTCTGGGAAATGTGTTGGATTTTTGTAACCCTGCTGAGAAACAAAGTTAAAAGGTTTTTGGGTTTTTTTTTTTTTTTTTTTAGAAATTCCAGGCATTGAATCTGCCTGCAGTGAGTGGCATCTTCCAAACTATTGTTTCTTTTTACTCAGGTTTACAGCAATAATGGGTAGGTCTGTCCCATTCCCAAGTGGATGGGAACTGAATCCAGTCCTAAAGGGCTAAGAAAAGCAATATTTGATTTCCTGTAGGCACAAGATTTACTGGCAGTATTACAGAACTTGCTTCTTCTAAACATGAGCTCACTTGAAACCATTCAGAGTGGCATGTATGTATGTAAGCACTTACTGAAGCCTATTTATTCTATACTAGCTTATTTTAAATTAATTTTTAACTTATTATGTCAGAAATGACTATTTATTAAATACAGTCACCTTTTTTAATGGGATGAACTTTGTTTTAGAAAGGAATAATTGATTGTCTTCAATCCCAAGCAATCTTTCTGCTTGGGTCCTGATCTTTGTGATCAGTGGATGTTCTTGCAAAAGGGCTGCATTGGGTAAGGGCTTGTGTCACCTTCCTTGCAAGGAAAGGTGAGAGTCCAGTGCTTTTTTAGATTGTTTTTTAGGATTAAGAAACGAGGATATAGTTCAGGAGTTGGCATAAAGATGCACTGTCTTCCTACACACCAAAAATGCCATGTTTGTCCCTAATCTCTGATTGTTCCTGTAGTCAGGTTGGGGAGCAAAGTTATCCATGTTCTTGTCCAGGTGAAAAAATGATGAGAGCAGGTGTCAAAACTCACCAAGTTTTTATTCAGGAATCTGTGAAGTTGTTCCTTCCCACCCTGTTTTTTTATAATCACTGGTTTTGAAGCACCAGGCTCTGCCAAATGAGAAAAGAGCCAAAATATTTGGGACAATGGGAGACCAAGAACTTGTCATGGGGTTTTTTAAGGATTGGAGCCAAGGGAATCACTCTGCACCTTGCATCTCTCCCTGTGAACAGGTAACTTGGTTATGTAGAGCTCAGGGAAGTTCTGATTTCCAGTTCTCAGTTGTTCCATAGACTTTCATGTTTCTCCCAGACAAATGAAACTTCTGTCTCTGGCATTTCAGCATAACTGGAGTCTGATAAAGAGGGACAAATGTAAATGTAATTCCTACATTTCCTCTGGAAAGTCGGGAATTCTGGAAGCAGAAGTGGATGTGTGTATCCCTCATGGAAAATCCTTGACCCAGAATAAAATCTAATTTAGAAACAGTTTCAGTCTTCCAAAGCCTCAGGAGCAAACCCAGCCCTGTCCCCCTGTGCTGTTTCAGGATTTTACCTTCCCTTCTCACATCCTGTTCCTGGGTTTGCTCTGGGTAAGAATCTCTTCCTTTGCCCTGAATTTGTTTTTTTGGTAATTTTGTTTTGAAATGTGGGATGTGCTGTTTTCTGCTCACCAGAAGTTTGACTTTTGTCAGTGGAGGAATTTGGCCCTGGCAGATCTCTGAAGGGTGAGGTCAGGGCTGGTTCCACAGGGTGCTCCTGGCTCTGGGGACATCCCAATCCCAGTTTTTCCTCTGGCCCCTTGGCAGTCCCACTCCTCTGCCCATCAGAGATCGTGCACAGGTTTGTGAAGCAGATTGTGACCTCTCCAGGCTGCCTGCTTTATCCCATCTGACAATTTACTCTGAAATCAATTTAAATAATTCAGTATTTTTTCCTTTTTCTCCTGAATATTAACAGGAGAAAGGGAGCAACAGCCTGGATACTGTGCTGTGCTTTCTAAACCTGACCTTGTGAACTGCAGATCCCAGAAACACAGAATTCTTCTAATCACCTTTTCCCCCTCAAACTACATCAGTGTGCTTAGAAAATAAACTCAGAGTTTTCTTCACAGTGAGCTGAGTCTGGGAGGGATTTTGGACCCTCAGAAATCAGAACTTGGGCAATGGGCTCATTGTGGGTGGTGCAGCAAAGCCCTCCCGGCAGTGAGGCTGCCGAGCTCGGGCTGTGTGCAGGGAAGGAGCTGCTGGGTAAAAAGTGGCTCCCAGGAACCTGGGGCTGTCCCTGGTTCAGATATTCCCTATGCAAACACAACACCTACCTCAGAGCTGGTGCCATGCCCGCGGGGGCAGGGCAGGGCAGGATGCTGTGCCAGGGTGGCACCTGCATTGCCAGAGCTCTCCAGGAGTGCCCCATTGCCTGGGCTGGAAGGGCAAACAGAGCCCGAGGGGGGATGGATGGATGTTGGATGGCCTCAGCTGCGGTTCAGGGCACGGTCTGAGCCGGGTTTTGCTGCTCTCCGCTGGAGGAGGAGGAGAAGGGCTGAGCCCGGGGCACAGGGGCGGCTCCAGCCCCGCAGGTGGCACCGGAGCCGGGAGCGCTGGGAGTCGGCTCGGGGCTCTCTCAGGGAGGCACCAGAACAGCTCAGTGATTCCTGAGCTCAGCTCAGCCATTCCACAGCTCCTGAGCTCTGCTCAGTCATTCACAGCTCCTGAGCTCAGCTTGGCCATTCCTCAGCCATTCTCAGCTCAGTGATTCCTCAGCTCCTGCGCTCAGCTCATTCCACAGCTCCTGAGCTCAGCTCAGTGATTTCACAGCTCCTGAGCTCAGCTCAGCCATTCCTCAGCTCCTGAGCTCAGCTCAGCCATTCCTCAGCTCCTGAGCTCTGCTCAGTGATTCCACAGCTCCTGAGCTCAGCTCATTCACAGCTCCTGAGCTCAGCTCAGCCATTCTCAGCTCCTGAGCTCACTGTTGGGAGCAATTCCTGACACTGAGCAGGCCAGGCACTCCCGAGTGCCTGAGATGCAGCTGTGCTCTCTGCTCAGCCACTCTGGTTCTGTCTGTTCCTTTTCAGGAAGTGTGGATAACAATTTGTAATCCCGGTTTGGTTTGTTGGCAGATTCAGAAAATGCCATAATCCACTCTCAGTTCCCAGCAGGAATTGGTGAGCCCAGCTGCCACCACACTGGGCTGGGGAGCTGCTGGGGCTGAGGCCAGGCAGGGAATCCCTCATTTCAAAAGGCATTTTATCAGCTCACACTGCTTTCATGTCCCAAATGTTTGTACTGTGAGCAATTAATGCAAGGAACAGCTATTAGAGATTGACTTGACAGCAGCTGTCAAAGATTCCTGCATGCAATTAGCTTTAATATTCCTCCAACACCTTTGTGATGCTCCTTACATCTGATTATTTCTCTCTTGGAAGGTGAAATTGGAGTCAAGTCACATTTGCTGGCTTTTAGTGACACCACCACCCCCTTCCAAGCTTTCAGTTACACCTAAGTTAAATGGGCATTAATTAAGTTTTTTAGCAGCACTTACTTTCTCTCCTTTGCAGCTGGCTTTGGTTTTATACACTGAAATCCTCATTTTTCTCAGCCAAAACCCTCAAACCTCCTGTAAGAGCCCACTGCAGGGCACTGAAGAAACAGATGTCCTCCTGTGATGGTGTCTGTGTGTCCTGGTAGAGCTGTACTTTTGGGTATGTGAGAAATAAAACATCTCTGAGAACACGTGGAATTGTTTGATTCAACTGCTGAAATTGCAGGGCAGTGAAAATTCAAGCCTGTGTGCTGCTCTCTTTGCCCACAGAAGCAGAGGTAATGCTTGTATTCACTTTTTCCTGCTTTTTAACTAAAATGTTTGGGTTTTTTTCTACAGAACCAGCATCTTGTGTTTAATTTCCTAACACAGAGTGGGCTGGAACAGCACATCCTGCAGTGTGGGTGTTATTAAACATAAAAGAGCCCCTGGGTTCCACTGGGGGCTGAGGTTAGCTGGGAAAGGATCAGCTCCTTCTGCAGCTGCACATCAGGAATTCTGAGTTTCAGGCAGGTAGCACTAAAAGACTTTATTCAAGTTTCAAATAAACTTCTGTAAATCATAGAAAAATAGAGTCTCTTGGTTACAGGCTGATTTGGTGCCAACACTGGCACAGAAAATACACATCCTTTACTTGGAGAGGTAAAAAGGGAGTGAGTGCATAAAGGTGTGTGGGGCTCAGACAGGCTCTCACCCCTCTGCAGCATCCAGGGGCTTGGCCAAGGCTGGTTCCCTCACGGGGCAGCAAATTCCAACACTGTTTGAATGGAACTGTGCAAGGATTTGTTCCACATTTCCAGAGGAGGAGCTCGGGGTGCTGGCTGGGCTGGAGCCCTTGCTGGGGCAGGGCAGCCCAGGCTGTGCCATG